CACCCTCAGGGACTAACAGCATGGAGCAGAGATGGGGAGCAGCCTCGGAAAGGAAAGCCAGCTCGTACTGCCTGTCCTCTAGGACGTCACTGCCAAGGGCAGGAGCACCCCCGACGGACAGAGGACGGGCAGGGTCAGAGACCAGAGCGGTAGCGTAGTCAAGGCGGCGGGTAGAAGCGAAGTCAGCGACAGCAGCGACAAGCGCGTCAAGGCGCGAGACAGGAACAGCAGGGTCGGTAACAAGAGAGGCAAGGACCCGAGGGACAAGGGGATGAGCAGCACGGAGGTAGTCAGAGAACGGAGGAGGTGCAACAGCAAGGGACGAGGGAGGAGGGGATGGGAGGAGGGGAGGACGAGACGAGTGGGAACGGAGCAACATAGGGTGGGTGGGCAGGACAGGAGAGACGGGACGAGCACGGGAGGGACGGCGAGCCCAAACGTGAGACGGAAGGGTAGGGTCAGGGGACAGCGGAGGAGACACAGGAGGGGAACGAGGAGGAAGACGGGCCGGAGACGAGTCTGGCGGCGGGAACACAGGACCGTAGACAGGGAGGTCAGGAGGCGGTGGGGGAGACACCGGCGCGCGGTCCGGGGAGGGAAGGCCGAGCAGGCGGAGAGCGGAAACCGGCGGCGACGGCTGCTGTGGCGGCGACGACGGCTGGGCCGGAACTCTCGGACCAGCAGAGGCAGAACGACCGTCGGCAGAACACTCAACAGCAGCACCCCCAGAACCAACACCCCAAGAGCGAGAACCCCCTCCAACACCAGCGGCACCCCCAGAAGCCGCAGGACGAACACCCTCCTCCACACCAGCACCCCCAGGGGCCGAGAGCAGCGGCGGCAGTGGCGGCGACAGCGGCGACGGCTGCGGCGGCGACGGCGACGGCGGCGGCAGCGGGGTCGGCGACTGCGACAGTGGGGGCGGAGGCACTGGGGAAGGGGGACGCGGCAAGGACGGACCGGGGGTACCACCAGAGTCAGCAGACTCCTCAACGGGGACAACCGACGGGAGGGGAGTGACGTGGGAGACACCAGACGGGGCAGGACGAGGCGGGAGAGGGGCAGGGGCTACCGGGGGAGAGGGAGCAAGGAAAAGGGGGGGGGCAACTGGGAGACCTCGGTGAGGGAAGCGGCGGTAGAAGGAGACGGACTCGTCAAAGGTGACGTCACGAGAGTGGAGGAAGCGGTGAGACGGCGGGTGGTAGAAAAGCCAGTCAGACGAGTCCAGGGGGAAACCGAGGAAGACACAGGGAACAGTGCGGGCAGTGAGCTTGTCCGTGCCAGAGGCACGAACGTGAGCAAGGCAGCCCCAGACGTGGAACGCAGACGCGTCACCGGGGGACCCGGTCCAAAGGAGGGTCGGCGAAACCTGCGGCCGCTGAGAGCGTGGCCACAGGTTAAGCTGGTGAGCCGCGTAGCGAACAGCGAACGGCCACAGAAAATGGGGGGCATCGGCATGGATCATGGAGGTACGGGCGACCTCCATGACCAAGCCGATGCGGCGCTCAGCAACCCCATTCTGCTGTGGCGAGTCCGGCAAGGTGTACGACTGAGTGATGCCCTCCGCACGACAGAACTGTCCAAGCCGACCAGAGGCGAACTCGCCGCCACGGTCGGAGTGGAGACACAACACGGGGAGACCGCGGTGGAGACGCGCAGCTACAACCCACGGGAGAAGAACGTCGGGCACGTCGGCCTTCCGCTCCAGGGGAAACACCGTGGTGTAGCGCGTGTAGTCGTCAACGAGCACAAGGAAGTAGCGCTCACCGCGCGGTCCGGGGACGGGGGCAGGGCCCCAAACGTCCAAGTGCAGGGTCTGAAGGGGGGCAGTAGCAGGACGCAGCGAGGAGGAGTGAGGAGCACGGCGGAGCCGACCCTCGACGCAAGGCGTGCACGGTGGCGCAGTCGAGGGAGGAAGGGCAGGGAGCGACGCGGGGAGACCTAAGACAAGACCGTGCTGGGACATGTGACGCAGACGCGGGAGAGCAGGGTGACCTAAGCGGTGGTGCCAGAGAAGGGAGGGGTGAGTGAGGGACCGACACGAGCAAGCTGCAGCGACCTGGGAGGACGCACCAACCGGGGGGGAAGCGGTGTGTAGGGTAAACAGACCGGACACCGGGTCCCGGGGGAACGTCGCAAGGGGGGAACCTGAGACAGCCTCAGAACAGACAGCGAACCGCTCGTGCCCGGGGAACGTGGTGGTGACGCCGAGGTCCTGGAGACAGCCGACACCAACCAGGTTCCTGGAGAACGAGGGAACGTGGAGGCCAGTAAGGGAGCCCGAGGGAACTGCCGGACAGGGAAGGGACGTAGAACTGCGCGCGACGACCGGACCCGCAGAGGGGTCAGCGAGAGAGACAACAGCAGGTGCAGCAAGCGGCGTGAGCGTGGAACGGTCGCGGAAGAAGCAGGCAGAAGCACCAGAGTCGAGAGTGAAGGACAGCGACGCAGTGGCGGAGGCCGCGGACGGAGCCGGTGCAGCGACTAGACTAGGCAACCTAGGCAGTCCTACGCCTGTCGCAGCAGGGGAAGCTAAGCTACACAAGGGTGAAACACCTAAACTAGAGAACACATGGTAGTAAGATCCATCAACACTAGAAGCGTCAGCATACAAAGCATGCAAAGCAGCACCTATCTGATCCATGTCTAACTCAAAGATCGGCACGGCCTGGCGGAGCAGGCTGTGCCAGTCAGGGAGGTCCGGGGCCGGGCCAAAGCGACGACGAAAAAGATCGTCGAGGCGGCGGAAACAGTGGGCGGTCGGGTGCGGGCGGCGGCACAGAGTGCCGCGGAGAGGCCCGGTCTGAAGCTGGTACTGGCAGGTCACAGCACTGGAGCCGCTGGTAGACGCCAAGCTGCGCGGGCCGCCACCACGGCCACCGCCTCCGGAGGTGCCGGGCCAACCAGGCGGGAGACGAGCCCACGGCTGCGGCGGGTGCTGCTGGGACGGCGGCTGCGGCTGGGGCTGGTCCTGCTGCTGCTGGGACTGCTGCTCCTGCCCACCGGTGGTAGTCCCCTCAGGCGGACTACCGTCACCACCACCACGACCACTACCACCTGCGTCACCACCCCTACCTCCCTGGCGGCCACGGCCACCGCGACGCGAGCGCTGCTGCGGGTGGACAGCAGCAGCCGTCTCGGTAAGAGGGGTCGCCGTGGCGACCGCAGCCGAAACGTCAGTGAACGTGCACGGGGACGGGGCACAACCGTGAAAGATAGAGACTGCGGGCGCACCGCTCGACCGAGCGATAGTGCGCTGGCGACTCTCGATCTCAGTGAGGGTGTCGACAAAGGCGGTCAGGGTGAGGTCACCCGGGTGCTGGCTAAGAAAGTGGTCGCGAGCACTAGCGAGGCGGTCTGGCAGGCGCATAGCGATAAAATAGAGCGTCATGCAGAAAGGAGGGGGGAGCGCAGTGAGCTGGGCAGCAGTGCTGGCAGTGCGATAGCGAGTCTCTAGGGCACGCAAATGAGTGGCAAAATCTGCGACAGTAGGGAAGGCAGCCAGGTCTGGGAACAGCATCGGAAAGAGCAAGCGGCCAGCAGAAGCGGAGGCAGGGGTGGAATAGCGAGCAATAACGGCGTCTAAATAAGCTTTGGCCGTTTCAACAGTAGCAAAACGCGAGCGCTCAGACACAGGGAGGGCGTGACTAATAGCAACCTGAGCTACTGCATCGCGTGAGTCCCAGACCGCACAGGCTAGCGCAGCAGTAGAGAAAGCCTCACGGTCATCAGAGGAGGGGTCAGCAGGGAGGGGAGTAGGTGCAGGGGGACGGGGGAGCAAGCCATCAGCATGGACAACCAGAGAGTGGCCATCCTGGCGCTGACCTGTAAGCTGGCGGCGAAGATCGGAGAGCCAGGCGGCGAAGTCAACCGCGTGGCCCTCAGCGTCCAGGCGGAGCACAAAGTCAGCCATCGTGCAGGGTCAGCGGCACAGCTCCTCAGCGACACAGCGGCACAGCAGCACAGCTCCTCAGCGGCACAGGAGCACAGCGGCGCGGGGACACGGCGGCAGCACTCTCCAGTAGGGCAGCAGCTAGGCGTCCCAGCGCAGGCAAGCAGAAGACACAGGGCCCGAGAGGACACGGCAGGCCGAGCAGGGGAGGCGGGCAGGTGCTCTAGGGCCGGGCTGGTGCTGGGAGGGGCCAGGCTGGTGCTGCTGGGGCCGGTCGGGCACGAGGAGGGGCCGGGCAGCGCTGAGGAGAGGCCGGGCGGCGCTAGGAAGGGGCCGGGCGGCACTAGGAGGAGGCCGGGCGGCACTAGGAGGAGGCCGGGCGGCACTAGGAGGAGGCCGAGCGGCACTAGGAGGAGGCCAGGCGGGCGAGCGCTAACAGCAGGCGCGACAGGGGCCAGCGGGCGCGACGGGGCCTAAGGGGCGCGACGGGGCCCAGCGGGCACGACGGGGCCCAGGGGGGGCGCGACGGGGCCGAGGAGGCGCGACGGGGACCAGCGGGCACGACGGGGCCCAGGGGGGCCGCGACGGGGCCTAACGGGCGCGACGGGGCCCAGGGGGGGCGCGACGGGGCCTAGCAGGCGCGACGGGGCCTAGGAAGCGCGAAGGGGCCCAGCGGGCACGACGGGGCCTAGGAGGGGCGCGACGGGGCCGAACGGGCGCGACGGGGCCCAGAGGGGGGGGACGCGACGGGGCTTAGGAGGCGCGACGATGCCTAGGAGGCACGACGGGGCTCAGCGGGCTCGACGGGGCCCATGGGGGGCGCGACGGGGCCTAGGAGGCGCAACGGGGCCCAGCGGGGGCGCGTTAGGGCCTAGGGGTCGCGACGGGACCCAGTGGGCGCGACGGGGCCCAGGGGGAGCGCGACGGGGCCTAGGAGGCGCGACGGGGCCCAGCGGGCACGACGGGGCCCAGGGGGGGCGCGACGGGGCCTAACGAGCGCGACGGGGCCCAGGGGGGGCGCGACGGGGCCTAGGGGGCGCGACGGGGCCTAGGAGGCGCGACGGGCGGAAGCGGTAGGCGGGGGGATCCTAACCTAAGCGTGATACCATGTTAACGTAGAAACGAATGATTACAAGAGGTGGAAACCTAGAACAAATACTAGTTGGTTGTACTCACTAGAAGCATACCTCAGTCTAGCCTATAACTTCTACATAGATAATATGTATAAGTTGACACATGCGTGAACCAACTTGTCAGTCAGAATTCATTCGTCTGGTGGCGTACACATATGGTGGGGTGGTGCCCTAGATGCCTTGTATTGCCTACGAAGCGAGATGAACTCGTAGCCACCACCTACTCTTCCTCCTCTTGCCTCCTCTCATTTCATTCATTCTTTTCCTCTCCTACACTATCCAAACGCCCGCTGATCATAGCACCAAGCCAAAAACGGCTGCTGCTTCAAGCATGTAGCAGCAGGTGCAGCAGGAGAGCTGCTGTCATGGCAGACAAGAGCAGGCGCCAGGATATGGAGGAGAGAGGAACCAGGCGCACACCAGGGTTGCTCGAAGTAGGAGCAGGCGGAGGAGGAGAGGGCAGTGGGGGAACAAACGAAAGGTTCTTGGAACCTGCAGCAGACGAGGCGAGTTCGGATCAGCAGTCAGGGATGTGAACGGGTTTGTTGGGAGGAGGAACCCAGCGCAGGAAGAAGATGGGACAGAAGAGTGGCTAGCAATAAAGGGACAGACGAACTACGAGTTGGGACAAACGAGCAGTTGATGGGAAGGGACAGAGACACTTCAGTGTTGGGTAGCTGCGAAGTTAAGTATCCCAGATGTCATTAATGCATGCAGCGAATGCAGGTGCATCACTCATGCATGTGCATACTTGATGTTGCAGTGTGTGGGGTTGTAGGTTCTCACATTGTGGTGTGTCGATCCAGGCCAAGGTAAAGTTGCGGTAGTTGATGTAGATCTGCTTGTCGTACAGCGCGGGGGCTGATGCCATGCCACAGCGTCGCCAGGCGTCACCAGGCATCACATGGCATGGCATGGTATGGATGGCATGGTATGGATGGCATGGTATGGATGGCATGGTATGGATGGCATGGTATGGATGGCATGGTATGGTATGGATGGCATGGCATCGCATGCACGAGGCCGCAACAAGAGACAGGAACAGGGATGGGAGAGTGAGGAGATGCAGAAAACCACAAGGGAAGGGAGCAAAAGGCTGCTGGGGAGCGCACAGCGAGCATGCAGGGAGAGCACGGCATGAGTGCACTCGCTGTCTACCCTCTTAGCTGCCTCAGAGAGCGAGCTCACCTGCCCAGATGTCGAAATAATCAAACAACTTAAACAAGAAGCAGTACTCGTCGGTGCCCACCTGGGACGAGGCGAGGGGAGAGGCATTGGGGAGACAAGGGAAGGGAAGACGCATCAAGACAAGAGGCTGATGTGCCACGCAGAGGCTGATTCTGCTGCCCGGCGACTCCCCGTGCCATGCCACGACAGCCAGTTAACTCATAGCAGGCAATTGATCCCATGGCAGTCAGTCCTTTCCATTCCACAGCATTTAACTAGACTCCGAACCGGACAAGTCGGAATTCGATATTTGGCACCCAGGGAAAGCCCAGAGGACACATCACGTACTTTGGTAACGTAGCCGGAAGCTGGAATGGCGAACTCCGAGCCCTCCGCAAATCCAATGTGGATGCTGGGGAAGGTTGTGAAGGGGTCCTTCTTGCTCCTGCAAAAGACGAGGATAGCAGGCACATGTGTTGCTTGCTTCAACCTGTTCCATTTCACGATTCGTTTCACAGGAATGCAGGGCCGTTTGAGACCTACACCTGACCGCTTGAGACCTAAAACTGACCATTTGAGACCAATCCCCGACCTAGAGGCAGTGAACGAACATGCATGCGATAGAATCTAGTTGTGGTGATGCCAAGCAATACAAGGGCGGGGCTCACTTACTGAAAGCATACACGGGCCGTTAATGCAAATGTATGCTCACTTACTGAAAGCACGCAAGGGTGGTGTTGTCCGTATTTATGTCTGCAAAGGCTTTGGCATAGCCGAGCTGGAGAAAGCATCATCCACAATGCTCCATGCACCATACATCATACACCATGCACCATACACCATGCACCATGCACCACACACCATACACCATGCACCAAACACCATACAGCGTATCCCATGCACCATGCACCATACACCATGCACCATGCACCATGCATTTTGCATAATGCACCAAACATAGACAGGGTGGGATGGTCAAACACCTGAGCAAGGCACACATCACATCAGCCAAGGCATGGCGCAAAACTAGGCATGGCGCAAAACTAGGCATGGCGCAAAACTAGGCATGGCGCAAAGCTAGGCATGGCACAAAGCTAGGCATGGCGCAAAGCTAGGCATGGCGCAAAGCTAGGCATGGCGCAAAGCTAGGCATGGCGCAGAGCTAGGCATGGCGCAAAGCTAGGCATGGCGCAAAGCTAGGCATGGTGCAAAACTAGGCATGGCGCAAAACTAGGCATGGCGCAAAACTAGGCATGGCGCAAAACTAGGCATGGCGCAAAACTAGGCATGGCGCAAAACTAGGCATGGCGCAAAACTAGGCGTGGCGCAAAACTAGGCATGGCGCGAACAAGGAAAAATCAACAGCAGCAGCGGCGACGGCTCACCGCAGCGAGGATGTCCTTGACGAGGTCTGGGCGGAGGAAGTGAGTGAAGAGCGTGGAGGAGAAGACGACCACGTTGAAATCGTGCTCCGTCACTTTGAACCACTGGTTCTGCAGCAGCTTGCCCCCCATGGTGTAGTTGCTGTTGCTGTACGTGACCGGGAAGTAAAAGTCACTGTGCCGAGAGGGAGAGAGGCAGGGAGAGAGTGAAGGAGAGGTAGAGAGGACGAAATGCCGGAGGGGTGAATGTTGGGTGGAAGACAAGGCGCCTTCAAAGAGTTGCCTGCTGGGTGTTTGTGGGAAGTACATGCCAGTGCACCGCGAGGGGGAGAGAGGCAGGGAGGGGGAAGGAGAGGGAAGGAGAGGTAGAGAGGAAGAGAATCCAGTGGGGAGAATAGTGAGTGGAAGGCACCTTTGAAGAGGTGTCTTTTTAGAAATCATAACTTCTTCTACAGAGGTCGACAAGAAAGGAGAAAAAAAACACCGAATCCCATGCGTGCGAAAAGAGCATCCGATGCCAACCAACCAACCAACCAACTCACCTCAACACCACCTCGCTTTCCCATCAACACCGGAAGCTCAGCACAGCCCTCTACCGGAAAGATGGTCGTTTGGCTGACTCTTGAGTCGACTCAAAAGTCAATCACTCTACCGGAAAGATGGTCGTTTGGCTGACTCTTGAGTCAACTTAAAAGTCACTCACTCTACCGGAAAGATGGTCGTTTGGCTGACTCTTGAGTCGACTCAAAAGTCACTCACTCTACCGGAGAGATGGTCGTTTGGCTGACTCTTGAGTCGACTCAAAAGTCACTCACTCTATTGGAAAGATGGTCGTGCTGCTGGCGTTAGCGGGGAAGTCCACCGGCCCCACCATGAGATGGCTCCCCCCGTCGAACTTCACTTGCGGCACCACCACCCACTTGCCCTCCGTCTCATTCCACCGCGTTAGATTCTCCACCCTCTCCCTCGGCTTCTCCAGGCACATGGCAAACGACAGGGTTTCGTTGGCCAGCTGGTTGAGCAGCGGGCTGAACGGGCCGAGTCCCACCACCCCATTGGGCGCCCACGTGCTGTCCTGCCCCCACCACCCTGACTGCGTTGCCCCGCACCCAAAGAAGATGGTCCGGTTCGACAGAGGCGGGACCGGTGGTGGTGCTGCTGCAGCAGCAGCAGCAGCAGAGCCACCTGCACCCCCAGCCCCTGCTGCCGCTGCGGCATCTGCTGCAGCATCCACGGCAGATACTGCTGCGGCGGTGGCAGGATCTCCGGGAAAGAAGAGAGTATCCGCTACAACATGACCGACGGAGTTAAGAGGCCCGATAGCCGGATCACTGGCGTTGGCGTACAGAATCGTGGTGTTGTCTAAGTCAAAGAAGTCATAGCTGGGATCAGGGCCCGCGTCGCCTAGCGGCGTCGTATACACACAGAGGGGGTCATTGCCCGGAATCAAGGAAGTGTTCACATAGGGGTTGACTTTGTCGGGGTCGTTGCACCCCACGAGGGGCGGCTCTAAGCCCAGGAGCCCAACAGACACGCAGCGAGGGTCGGAGCAGGAGAGGTACTGGAGGGAGTAGGAGGAAAGCGTGCTGAAAGGGGGATTCCTTGGCACCTGAGCGCGAGAGAGGAGGGAGTGGAGGGCGGACGGGAGGGGGCATGGAAAAGGAAGGGGAGGGAGAGGGAGTGAGAGAGGGAGTGAGTGGGAGAGGGAGGCTGATGATGGGACGATGTGAGCAGGTGTGAGCAGGTGTGAGCAGGTGTGAGCAGTGGGGCGGGGAGGCAAAAGATGCGATGAGGTGGAATGCCCCGGTCTCATGGCTCTAGACCCAAAACCCCGTTCTATCCCCTCGCCCCAAACCCCACAACCCCTCAAAACCCCTCTCCCATCCCTGCTGGTCCCCGCTACTACAGCAGCAACACACATGTGCCCCCGCTGCCAGCGACGGCGGACCTGCCAGCGGCCCGTGCCGCACTTGATGCAGTCGCAGGGCACCCAGAGCGCGGCGAACATCAGGTCCACCTGCGCCAGGAAGCGCCTGCACAATCTCATGTATCGCACGGTTCCCCTCCCCACTACTCTCTCCTCTCTCACTCCGCAACCCGGCCTTCCTTCTCCCAGCCCTCATCATCCCCCAATCTCTCGCCCACCACCCCTTCCCCTCAGCTCTCAAACCCACCCCGCCCGTCCGCCCTCACCCACCCCCGCTCTTCTATGCCGTGGAGCACACGCGCACCTGCGGGCGGCCCTTGCCGCACTTGATGCAGTCGCAGGGCACCCAGAGCGCGGAGAAGAGCAGGTCCACCTGCGCCAGGAACCGCTGCTGCCGCGACCCGACCGTCAGCGGCACGTAGTACACATGCGTCCTGGGAGAAGGACACAAGGAGGCCGGGGGGGAGGGGGGGGTGGGGTTGAGTTGACTCAAAGGTAGATCGTCAGCGGCATGTAGTACACATGCGCCTTGGGAGAAGAACATAAGGAGGTCAGGGGGCAGGGGTGGGGGTGGGGGTGGGAGTGAGGGTGAGTCGATTCAAAAGCAAATCGTCAGCGGCACGTGCGTCCTGGGAGACGAGCACAAGGAGGTCGGGGGAGGAGAGGGGGGGTGGGGAGGTTGAGTCGACTCAAAGGCAGATTGTCAGACGCACGCCATACATGTGCGTCCTGGAAGGAAGCAAGGCGGTCGGGGAGGGGGGGGGGGTGGGGGGGGCCGCGGGTGCATGAGGCGGGGCATGCGGCGAGGCATGGGATGAGGCCAGCGGTTGAGGCATAGGGGGAGGCAGAGAGGAGGGAGGGATGCAGGGAGCGAGGGAGGGAGAGGAGTGGGCGGTCGGATACTTGAATTGCCTGGAGACATAGTCGAGCTTCTTGGACGTCTGATTGTAGGGCGCGACCTTGGAGTCGACTCAGAACGAAACTCATATCACACGAGGGAGGGAGGGAGGGAGAGGAGAGAGGGCGGTCGGATACCTGAACGGCCTGGTGACATAGTCGAGTTTCTTGGACGTTTCGTTGTAGAGCGCGACCTTGGCGAGCGTGTTGAAGGAGCTCATGGGGCCGTGCAGCACCAGCGTCGCGTCGCTGTCTCCGTACGTGGGGAACGCCGCCACCTGCGTCCATAGCGCGCGCGCAGGGGGACGGAAGGGGGGAAGAATGGGGGAACCAAGGGGGGCAGCAAGGGGGGGACCAAAGGGGGGAGCAAGGGGGAACCGATGGGGGACCCAATAGGGCGGAGCAAGGGGGGGAGCATTGGGGGAGCATTGGGGGAGCATTGGGGGAGCAATGGGGGAGCAATGGGGGGGCAAGATGGGGGTCAAGTGGGGACGGGGTTTGGCAATGGAGGGGGGAAAGGGGAGAAAGAGTTGGGGGCATCATGCGAGAGGGTGGAGGAGGATACAGAAAAGGTGTATGGCAGGGAAAGGGCGCTCTCACGCAGCGAGTGCACGGGAGCAAGGTGGGAGGAATCAACGCGCAAGGCGGAATGACGACGGAACTGAAAGCGGACGACACTGCGTGCGTGGCACACGGCGCTACTAGGCATGGCACAGCATGGCATGGCGTGGCGTAAAACCATCGCGTAGCGCGGGAGAGCTACTAAGGAATGCTTACCGATCCCTTTGCCGGCCGCTTCTTGGTGTTCTTGAAGCCCCCTCCGATGCCCTGCGAAGCCCGCCAAGGAGAAGCGCCAAAAGCGTCAAAGGAAAGGGAAACAGCGAAATCCAGAGCACAGCTATGGGAACTCCAGATCAGAAGCAGCATTCATGTGTCCAATGTAGCATACTATAGGGGAGTGGCTCCCTAAGAGAGATGAACCTGGATCCCAATGTATCATTCAGTTCTCCACTATGCGCGATCATTCAGGCAAGCTTTGTCTACGAGTCGACTCGTAGCTCCGTCTACGAGTCGCATCGCCTACATCTGCCCGATGCTCTCAGCTGGAGCTCCTAGAGGCTCTCCTCTCTCGCTGCCCTTCCCTTACAGCAGGCTTCGACTAGAATTGCCTTTGACGCGCCACGATCAGTCACGTGGTTTCACTCGTGACTCACTCTACACATCCCTTCACTCGCGTCCCTTCTCCTACCGCACCCTTCGACTAGCATCCGTATAGGAGATGGTTTCTATATGAGGGCTAGGAGCCTGTTGGCGGCGCGGGGGAAGGTGAATCAAGACGAATCTCGTACGCGTCGTCGTTCGGTATTGCGGCATGACAGTACAGGACGCGTACGAACCCACGACGCTGATTACCCTATTACGGAAAGACGAAAGGGGTGCAATGATACTAGTAGTACTGGTTGTAATCAGGCAGGGAGAGAGACGAACCATGGAGTCGACGGGCGCGAGGTCGCTGAGGACGGCCAGCGAGCCGACGACGAAGTGAAGAAGCACCGACGACAAGGCTGGACATACTCGATGGCGTCCGGAAGGGAGTCTGGAAGGGAGTGTGGAAGTGATTCTGGAAGGGAGTGTGGAAGGGACGTTGGACGGGCTGCTTCGGCTGCTTCTGCAATGTCGGGCTGTGTTGTGCATTGCGGAGCGCGGTTCAGTAGCCTCGGAAAGGGGTTGCCTTGAAACGCGAGCTCTGGATTCCAACGTATGCTGCGCGATCGCCGGATTTAGAGTTCCCATGTTTTGAAACCGTGACTGTGAGGATTTCAAGCTGTTCGGATTGAGATCGGGTACACGCACGACTCAGGCGGGCGAGAAACGCGGCTTTGGCAATTATGACTCCTATCTAGCTCGGAGCTATGGTATGGACTTGTGTGTGAGAGTCCTCAGGCACCCAGTCAGCTTCTCAAGAGCTGCGAGAGACAGCAACGACGGACAGCTGGTAGCGGAAGTTCATTCTGGCAGTGAACATATTAGTTGATGCTCAAGACCCACCAACCGACAGCCACATGGGATGTGCCCGAAAGTCGTAGGTCTGCGAGCTTGTGAATGTCGCACTGATAGTGATGGAATGGGGATGGTGTGTCAAGTGCTCGGGGCAGAAAAACTAAGAGTGACATGTCAGAGGATGATTAAGTGTTGCAACTCAACCCTCCCACGGAAAATGATAACACTTAGTTCGTTTTCTCACTGGATTATGCCAAAAGTTTTAAATATTTAAAGAGCCTTCACTAAGAGGGTGTTTCCAACTAGCACACAATTTTAGGTCAGAGGGCAGGAAATTGACCGTGAGAAAGGGTAGCCCATCAGCAGATCAGAGTGGCTTGTTCGGTTTGGTCGGGATTCTGGGAACATTTGAAGTACAGTGGACGCAGCGCTGAATTGATGGCATGGCAGTGTCAGAAGCGAAGAGGCTCTCCCTCTCACGGTCGGTTGGGTTCGGTGGAAACATTGTGGCGGGAAGCAACCATCACCTGTGTGCGAGTGGACAACCGAAAAGGCGCCACGTTGCCAAGTTGCGAATCGCCAAGTTGGGCAGGGCACAGGCCAAGCACGACTCGACTGTACAGCACAGTTTCTCAGAAATGTCAGCCTAATCTAGCCTGATGAACATGTTACAGTAGTTGTAGAATAGCTACTGAATCAAAACGCCGATGTCGACAGGATGGGTCCGATTTGAAAGGGTGTGCTAGACTCAAAAGATCTGCCTGCCCGAGGGACTGAACTGCTACCGCGATTCAAGCCGAGCCTATAACAGTGATTAGTGATTTGTTCAAGTAAAGTTGTGCTTCCGCATATCTTATATAAGAAAGTAGGGGCATTTCTCTTAAAACCCACAACCCGCCAGCGTCAAACGCACTGCGTGTGAACAGGGTGTTCGGAGTTGCTGAAAGTCACTGCGGAAGTTGAAATGACATGCGTTTTGGGACTCGGCATCTAGGGCACAGGTCAACAGGATGATCACCCTGTTTACTCTGATTTTCAGGATGCTCTACGCATGCTAGCCTGATTTTTTAGAACCTAGTAACATTTCACCCTTACGTTTTCAGTGTACACATATTTTTCACACTGTGAAAACTAGAGTGGCTTCACTCCCCGCCCTGTGCGGAAAGGGTGGCCCTAGAACTCCCCAGACCAGCGAAAACTGTACTGTAGTACTACGTACAGTACCTGACACGACATCTATTGCAGCCAATGAACTGAGCACGCCACATGTCCAATTGTCGGTGCCCTGCCAGAACCACCACTCACAGAGCTTGCCGCAGTGCACAACAGATGGGTTTTGCGTACAATTGTCGTTCAGGGGTTGCGCCAGGGTCATCTGATCCGAACCTATGGCGTGAAAATCGCTGGCCAATGGATTTCGTCTACTTTTCGAGTTCTCGTGCAAGAGTGCTTATACGTGTCCGCTGCTCTGACGCGTGGTGTTTCCACAAACCCAGAGTAACAACAAATCGTGAAGGGGTTTGTGAATTCCAAGTAACAGAATCTTTAACCCGGTATCAAAAGGAATGCGATTCAAACAACCCTGACAAAACTAGGGTGCCCATGCACAGTACTCTGATGCCGAAGGGTAAGGGTGGGGGGCTGTCCTGACTAGAAAGGCCTCCTAAAACCTTAGCCAGAGCACTGTCGGCAACCACACAACACTTCTCCAAATTTGACGGCCGATATTCACCAAACTCCGATATTCAACTCAAGGCCGTCGATTTCCAAACTTTAAGCTTTTTGTACTTGGGCCGTCGGATCGGTCGTACGTCGATCGGATGACCCAAATTCCCTGCAATTTTACCAAACCCATTTCAACACCAAAAGCGCGATTGGTTCATCAACCAAAGCAATTGGATGTGATTGGCTATAATAAACCATGTAAGGAATTAGTAATTCCTTACTGCGTCTTGCTACACGGCGTACGAATCTAACAGTCCCGAACCAGCGATTGGGTTCCGGACCTTTCAGTTCGAGCCTCCTGGCCCTTTCCGGACCTCTCTACGACACATCCGGCCCATCGACACTTTTCTCGAACCTTTCGATCCTATGGCCAGGATTGCCCTAGGTTTTCTATATATTGTATTGTCTTTCATTTTATTGGCATTCACTCATTCACATTTTCGCCATTGCCCTCCGCGCTACTCGGCAGTCCCATTCATAACAAACCACCTCTCCAGCTACGATAGAAAAAACTGTCAACTGATATTTATTATATTATATATGTATATTTTTGTAAGCTTTGTAGTTTTTCTACAATTCGGGATCCTATTGTAGAGAGGACAACCCTAGTTGTACCTCTCTCTCTTTCCTAGTTTACCCTATCTTTTCTCTCGCTATACTTCTCTCTACATAGATAAACCCTACTTCTCATTACGCTTCCATAGCGTAATCTCTCTCCTCCTCTCACCATCGCGCTGCCATGACAGCTTCGACATGCTGCCGTGGCGTTGACGCGCTGTCATGGCGGCTTCGTTGTGCTGCAGTGGCGGCTTCGTCGTGCTGCCGTGGCGGCTTCGACGCGCCAGCGCACGGACGGCAGCGGCTAGCGCATTGTTCTAGCGCCCGCCAGCACGCCCGCATGCCAGCCAGTGCGCCATCCAGGGCGCCTCGCTGATACCATGCCCCCTCCCCTTCATCTCCCCTCACCCCAGCCGCAGTTGATGGCTCCCTTCCCCGCTGAACCGAGCCACGCCGCCGGGTGCCGCGGGCTTCGCAGTCGCCGCCGCCGTCGCCAAAGCCGCCGCCGCCGCTACAGGTGTCGCGGGCTTCGCAGTCGCCGCCGCCGCTGACGCCGTTGCTGCCACCCGCCGCCGTTGTCGATGTCTCGCACGCCGAAGGGCAAAAGCCACAGCTGCTGCACGGCATAGGGGTGCAAGGGCTTGGGGGTGTTGCGTGTATGGTGTGCTAGCGCCTACCAAGCCTAGGACAACCCCCCTTCTTGTACCTCTCTCTCTTTTCTAGTCCCCCCTTTTCTCTCGCTATTCTCATGTCTACCTAGTTAAAATCCTCTTCAAACAACTTGCACCACGTCGTAAGAGCAAGTTGCATTGCAAGTACCGTTGGGCCCCCAGAATTAGGCTGCCCACCGAGGCAACCCATGTCGACCCCTATTTTTCACCACACTCAACCCGTTTGGTATGGTACTAACGGACCGCCTCTCATCCCCGCATGCCGGGCGCCATATGACCAACGAAATGGACTTGAACCATGCCCTTTGTTTTAAAAGTGGCAATGGTTGTTCAGCAAAAGAATCTCAACCTTGAGAAATCATTTTTTTTTTCGAGGAAATCCTAACGGATTCGGGTGTAAGTGCATGCCCCTAGCGATCTATATCAAATTCAGTACCTTACCCTGTCCCAAATTTTTATGAAACCCTTCTGACCCCAAAAAAACGTCTGTACGCAACCGCAATCAAGCACACCCCTTGAACACGCCCTAGTGCGTGGCACTAGTATTTTTGGATCTTCTCTAAGACACATTTCCAACCATAATAATAAGTATCGTGCTAAAATCCTATACTCTCTTCTTAAAGCCCGCAGCTCAAATTGTTCATACGCAGTGCGTATGAATATGAGCAGTAAGTTTAGCGAGGCCTAAGAAAATATCTCCAAATCATGAGGTTTTTATTGAAGTAGGGAAGTAGGGTTTAGCTAGGTACCGAGAAGTTTAGCGAGAGAAAAGAGGGGGTGAACTAGGAAAGAGAGAGAGGTAGAAGAAGGGGGGTTGTCCTCTCTACAGTAGGATCCCGAATTGTAGAAAACATACCAAGCCTATACAAATACCGTAATCCCCTGGATATACTATAGGCGCATATGTGCTTATAGGGATTAGGTTCAAAAAGCAGCATGCGCTTGTAATCGAATACAAATTATATGCCCATGCGCTAATACGAAGGACTCTATGGAAAAATGATTTGAACACACTAAAATGTAGCTGGGTTAATTTGGGTTCCAATACAACTGTCTTCAAAATGGGACACGCCGAAATATCGCGCGAAATATCATGCGAAAGTTTTGCCAGCACAACTATGCTACGAAAGGCAGGGTATGGACCGATCATAGGCAAGACAGTGATCGGGAAACGCTGGAATCTGGCTGGCGAAATGCTTGGGAGGGGTGCGAGAGTGCTGCGAGAGATTTGGCACAGAGTTTTGGTTATGAAAGTTTCGCAATTCACTTGTTTTTAATAGTAATTCAATGTGCTTATAGAGAATAGATTTTCTAAAAAAAGGTGCGCTTATAATGAAATAACGGATATACGTAAGTGCGTTTGCATCGTATAAGCCCACTGGGCTTAATAAATGGCTGCGCCTAGGCAACGCGTCGAGGCCGCCACGGCAGCGCGTTGAGGCCATCACGTCAGCGCGAGGAGGCCGCCACGGCAGTGCGTTGAGGACGCCACAGCCGCGCGTCAAGGCCGCCACGGCCGCGCGTCGAGGCCGCCACAGCGACATGAGGGTGTGAGGAGAGGGGGGGGTGAGAGAGTGCATTGCGGAAGCGTGAAGAGTAGGCTCAGCAGGATCAACCTGCTCTGAAACCATATCTCGAGAAAGGTTTTAGCTAGGTAGACATGAGAATAGCGAGAGAAATGGGGGGACTAGAAAAGAGAGAGAGGTACAAGAAGGGGGGTTGTCCTCTCTACAGTAAAATCCAGTTAGAGTAATGCACCTGCCTAGTCTACATATACATATACATAAATATATATGTTGACTCAAGTACCATCAATCCTCGGTCGAGGGGCGCCCACCAATGCAATCGATGCCGGCCGGCAACCAGCCCCCCATTTTCACTGCACTCAACCATTATCCAACGCTACGCCTTCTCAATTAACGGCCACCCATCCCGCCCATTGGTCGCCCATTGAGGACCCACGCGCTCCTCGACTAACGACCGATGTTACTTGCACGACATCGTTAGAACCCAAATCTACCACGCGACACGATCCAGTTCCCCGAA